TATATATGTATGTATATATATATAAAAGGTGCACCAAAATGGTTTGAAAATGCATCATATCTCAAATGCACCAAAATCATTTGAAAATGCATTATCTCAAAATATGAGCGCAGGATGCAATTTGAGCCACACGATGCATTAGATCCAAAGGTTAGATTTTATTCTTATTTCTTTCACCAAGGTGCATTCTCACGTGAACTATTCCCTCTATACACACACACATACGCTAATATGGTTACCGAAATATTAAATATATATATTTAATATTTATGTTGTCTTAATTATATGATAATTAAAGTTGACAAAATATATTATTAGATTTATGCATATATGGCCAAAATAAGGGAAAGAAAGAAGAGGAAGAATTTAATTCTAATTCTAACTCTTTAATTAGTTACCTAATCTAATTAGGTAACAATTAATAAGACTTCTTCTCCACACTTCTTCTGTAACACCCGCCTTCCGTGGACCCGGTTCACCCGCGACCCAACGGACCGGTAGGGTTACATGGACAGTCCAAGAACCATCCGTTACGGAAACATTAATGATTATTTAATAAGAAGACGGTTGAGTTTTAATTAGAGGAATAAATGCCAGGGAGTTACTCCAAAACGTGTGTAATAAAAGTGCAGAGTAATTGCGGAAGTAATTAAATAAGTTCAGTCCAAATTAAATAACGACAAGGGTGGGTTCATGCCCAATCGATTAATGAAGTTATTGAAAGTAATTAAGAGTCCGTCCGTGCGCCGCCCATCTCCCCATCGTCACCGCTCTCCAGGGTTGGCACCTGCTCCGTCATGCCTACCTGCGTGTAGCAAAAACAACTACACGCTCAGCAAAAGCTGAGGAGTTAATCTAACAAAAGAACATGAAGTGATAACCCATATGGCTATACTCATGTCAATACCTGTACTTAACGTACGGAAAACCACACTAGCTGTTTAGTTTTCACCTGTTAAAGCTATTTCGAATAACGAGGTACATAATGATGATGATATGACTTGATGCATGACTTAAACTATCAGGGACACCCCTGGCTTAGTCTCACTCGACAAGATCACCCCTGCACTCCGGTCATCGTCCCCGAACGGTAACGAGCCGGGCACGACGAAAAACATCGCGAGTGGACTAGCAAAACCGGGTAGTAGCCGTAACCTGACTACTATGTACTTACACAAGCCCAACATGATGAAAACCCGTTAGTCCCCAAAGGTTCCTGGACGGGCCCACTGTAGTAGGCGCATGAAGTCCTCTCTACAGCGGTATGCACATGATGAAAACCTAGAACATTCGTCTAGAACGAACATGATGGAATGAATATATTGATTAAAGAAGAGAGTTAAATTCAATTCATACATATGTGTTTGATTACGATTTGTTCAACATGATGGCCCTGGGTTCGGAACTGGCTGATAATCGATTATCTGCTGTTGATAATCGATTATCATGCTGTGCAGCTTCTGTCCCCAAAGTCCTGCAGACCGTGATAATCGATTGTCACCCTATGACAATCGATTGTCAAGTTGGTTTATCTGGAAAGTCTTAAGTTCAGAGAGACCTGATAATCGATTTGTCTGTGTGATAATCGATTATCAGTGAAGCCAACTCAGACCCAAGAATCCGTAGAGCCTGATAGTCGATTATCACATATGGGATAATCGATTGTCACGCTCTGAACCAACTGAGGAGTCCGGCGTGGCCTGATAATCGATTATACTATCCTGTAACTCGATTATCAAGGCACGCTGATTTCCATTTTATTTGTTTGTAGCCATCAAACGTTGGAAGTTTTTTTTTTAAAATCGAATGTTTTCATTTTCCACGCTAAGTAGTCGATGAATTTACGAGGTTCCAAAACATTTATGTTAACGAGTACATAACTTAATAACATGGGCTCACATAAGTTGAATACGAACATGCATAGATTCAACGTAGGTTGCGTACGGTATTTCTATGAATGCAACGACATAGATTATAACTAAATGTTCTAGAGTTAGAGGGTACAACTACTCACCTCTAAACGAAGGGGTTGACGATACTATGAGACGAGATGAACAAACGGTTAGCAAGGAACCAACGAACGGACGAACGACGACTACGCTTCGCACGAACGGCCTAGCCCTTCTTCCCCTACAACCTTGCACCTGCCGGAACTTCGCCGGAGGTCCTCCTTGCTGCTGGTCTGGCCGAACAAAGGGGAGAGGAAGGTGGATGGTGATGATGACTATGGGAGGTTACAAAAATGGTGGAGGAAAGGAATGGGCTAGGGGTTTTTAATTGAAACCAATTATGAGGGAAATGATGGAGACTTAATGGGTCATGAATGTGTCCGAGAGTGAGTAACGTGAGAATTGGGTGGGGGTTACAAATACTTATCCTACTCCGTAGTGTAAAATCTGACCTGAACGGTACGCGCTTTTTTCCCCCCGAACGGGTCCGAATAGAGATCCGTTTGCGTTTCTGAAATTAGACAGTCAAGATGAATTTAATGATATGATCAAATAATTTTTCAAAGAACTTTTGAATTTCCCAACTCTGATCTAGAACAGTAATTAATTAACTAAATTAATCAATTCTATTAGACCGGGTTGCAGGGCGTTACATCTTCTATATAAACACAACTCATGTCTCTCTTTTGAGGTGTGCATTTTACCAATCAGAAAAGAGAGAGAGCCAGAAAACAAAGAAGAAAATATATTTTATATTCTTATAATACTCTAGGAAGAGATTACTAGCATATTCTCTTCCTAGAACACCGTTCGTTATTCGTGTGGACGCACTAGAGTTTGGATATTTTGTGGCTAGTTTGTTGCACGGATCCCTTCATCAACACTATTCGATATGTTTTCTACAAGAGAAGGTATTATTCTTTACAATAGTTTATAGCTTTTGGAAGATGATCTTGGGTGGTAACGACAATTCGATATAAAAGTTTTGTTTTGCGATGTGCTATGCACGCGTTGTTACCCCACACTTTTGGCTTCACCAAACACCAATAAAAAATTCCGATATCCAGAGATATCAAAACTCATATCTTGTTTGCTTACCAAAGACACCCTTAGATTCTTGGTCTTTGGAATGCCTTTAGAAGTTTATTGGCATTTCTTTTTCGGGTTTTATTTGGGCTTTTGTTTGGGTGTGCACCCCCCGTTTGTACTCTTATTGATTTTTAATTCAAATAAGACAGAGCTTTGAAAAGGATCCTGGATCTCTTGCAATTTCTTACAAAATAGGTGAGCATCTTATTAAAAGAGCTTTGATGGATTTAAGTGCTGGTGTTTATTTATTGCCATTTGCAATTGGATTTGGAAGAGCTTAAACCTGCCAGGATGACACTTCAATTGGTTGATAGGTCTGTAAAAATCTCTAAGAGTATAATTGAGGATGTTTTGGTAATGGTGAAAATTTTCTATTTTCATGTTGACTTTGTTGTTTTGATACTGAGCGAGAACATGAATGTGCTACGGAAATAGAGATTGTTTTAGGACGCCCATTCCTTGCTACAACAAATGCTTTAATAAATTGTAGGAATGGTGTTATGAAACTCTCATTTGGTTATATGACTTTTGAATTAAATATTTTTCATGTGACTAAACAAAATCATGATGAGAATGATGATGTATGTGAATTAAATATGCTTGACAGTCTTGTTAATGATACTTTTCATCACTCAGCCATTAGAAACATGTTTAGTTAATTTTAGAACTGATTTTGATGTTGATGATTATTCAATTGCTGAAATTGATGTTTGATTCTACACCTATTTTGAATGATGAATAGTGGAAGCCTAAACCACTACGACTCCCATTGTCTTCCACTCCCTTATTTCCTTCTTCTCTAGAAACTCCTAAATTAGAAGTAAAACCTTTGCGTCATAGTCTTAAGTATGTATTTTTAGGACATAATGATACATTGCATGTTATGATAGTTTCTAATCTATATAAGTCTCAAGAATCACGATTAATGAGTATGTTGAAAAAACATATGGAAGCTATAGGTTAGTCAATTGCTGATATTAAGGGTATTGGTCCATCTATTCATTTTTTTCATAATTTGCCGTCCAAATTTATAAAAGAATGACTAAAAACTCAAAGAGGGAAAATTTATTTAAGGCAGAGATAGTATAATTGAAAAAATGTAATATAATATGAAGTATTGAATTGATGATAGATTGATAAATGTGATATGACAAGAAATAGGCTGCTAAGGCTTTACCTTGAGAATGAATACTAAGTTATTTGAAAATAAGTACTACTTTATTTCAGAATGAACACTAACTTATTCGTAAATGAATATTATAATTGTATGGAACAAATGCGTAAAAATGAACACTATATTACATTAGAATGAGTCCTACGCTATTTCAGAATAAATACTATGATATTTCAGAATGAATAGTAGGCTATTTCAAAATGAAAACATATGTTTTGTCTAAAAATGAATAATGAGTACGGCAAATTATATTATACATCTGATTGTATCAAATTTTGGGTACAACCAAAAAATTATTTATGGTATAGATTTTATTTTACACGAGAATGAATACTAAGTTATTTGAGAATGAGAATGTTTTGTTTCAGAATGAACACTACATTATTTATAAATGAATATTATAATTATATTGAACCAATGTGTGAAAATGAGTACTGCATTATTTTAAATGAGTACCACGCTAATTATATTTGTGCAAGAATGAGTACTACTTTACTTTAAAATGAGTACTAACCGGTTGTACCGTACCTCTGGTTGTACCATACACTCTCTCAATAAGTACTACTCAACTACGGAGTATATTTTAAATTTTTAATACTAGTATGGCAGTTGTATAGGGACTAGCTAGTTTAGATGTGCGTTGGATAAACTTTTGACTCAAACGTTAAGAAATGTATCGTAATAGGAGTAAAAGATAGGCTATATACCCAAAGTAGGACCTAAAATATGAACTCCCCTAAATAAGAGTTATTAATGTAATCTTATCCTAATCATATTTCAATACTTCCATCATTTTCAATGGTCTATTCTCTGTGCAATCTTCTTTCCGTCATTTTCGATGCAATATCCTCTTTGACAAAGCGGCTGCTCTGCTTAGCTCGCAGCACGCCCTTCTTTGCCTCCGTTTCTACGAACATTTTGAGACCCCTAAATGCGTGGTCTCAATCAAGGCGAAGGCCGTGTTAGTCGATGGCGTAACTAGAGTGGATGAAGAAGAAGAGGATCTAGATCTGAAAACTAGGTATGATTGCGTAGAGCATCTGAGGAACCTCTGTGAATTGGGTTCAAGGATTCTGAAGAGGGTAAAGTAGAAATTCAAATTTGGGGAATTAGGGTTTGTGGGTTGGGGGGTTGAATGTTAGGAATAATGTGTATGATTGGAGAGATGTAAAGCTAGGAGTGGATGAAACTACGTACAATTTCCGCACTCTGTACGAGATTGAATGTGAGAGCAATGAACCAGAAAGAGTGAAGGGGATGATTGAGGATTTGAGGAGTTCTTGAAGGAGAATGGAATTGAGTAGTCTTATTCTGAGAAGTACAAGTTTGCTTTATTCGGGGAGGGGGAATTGCCTCTGTAAGTGATCAACTTTCAGGAATTCATTTTATTATTATATCATGATACAATAATATGTTCTTGAATTGTGAAACTTTATGCTTCTTCTATATAGTCAATGCAAGTACATTGTTGTGCTCTAATCTTATAGAGTGAATGAGCGCGATGCTGTAATTTGTATTCTGTAGGTCTGATTTATTTGGTCACTTATTTCAAAACCACAAATTTAGGTGAAAGTGTGTGAAGGACTGACTTTTATGGCTAGAATAATATGGTTGCCTTGATTGATTTTGCAGCCATTGCTCTCTGGATCCATTAACGGCTTCAGCTGGGTCTTGGATGATACTTGTAGGTTTTTATGATTTTCATTGGGTGCTTGTAAAATATGAGTTCCTTAATATATACTTTTGTGTAGTTTATATCTGGCATATTGAAATGCTTTTATTGGGTTTGTGTATATATTTTTTAGTTCATAGATTGCTGCTTTTATATGACTTCTCTTTTTTATTTTACTCTTATACATTAACATGTTTGCCAATATACATAACCATATGTTGCATTATGTGTTGTCATGTTTGATATTATGTGTCTGTTTGACATTATGCATTTTCATATGTGACTTTATACATTGACATAACTAGCATTATGCAAATTTATGTATGACATTATGTGTTGTCATGTTTGACATTATGCCCTTATTTGACATTGTACAAATAGTTAGTGTGATTTTATGGTGGGTGACAGTGGCATCGAGGTAGAGTTTTTTGGGATTGTAAATTAGTTTTTATATTTTAATTTGTAAATAATTTTTTTTTATTTTACAAAGATGAATATATATCTAATTTTGGAGATAAAAACATGGGGTTCTTTTTTCATCTCATTGTAATGTCTTACTTTTGTTTCACACATTGTCAATTGTCCTGAACCAGATTTAATTGAAAAACAAATTTCATTTGTTTTGTATAATGATTGGCATTAAGCCTTTGTTTGGTCATATGCATACACATGTGTGCCTTAATACATTAGCATGATTGCCATTATATACAATTTTGTGTGTGACAGTAAGTGTTGCCAGTTTTGGCATTATGTCCATATACAACATTGTATGGATACTTAACATGGCATTATCGCGATGAAAGTGGGAGATTTTCTTTTAATTTATGAATACTTGGGGATTTTGTGTGAATATGATTCAAAGTTTAGAAGCTTGAACTTTTGGAAATTTTGTGAAGATTGAAGAAAACAAAGGGTGATTGTATCATCTTAAACGGTCTCTAGTGCATAAAGAGGGGGAGCGGGGGGGGGGGGGGGNAATGCAGGAGCAATCGTGGCGGTAGCTGAGCGCTAGCTGCTTAGCGAGGGTGGTTGGCTTCGTGTGCGGCGTCTTGTGCTAAGGCCATGTGATGGGGAAAGCAGTAAACTATGGTAGCGTCGACGACGACGACAAAACATGGCAGTGATTGAAGTATCACTGACATCGATGAAATTTTAATAGATGTCGACATGGACGATGTCATCGGTGACATCATTGGTGGCGGCTGGGAGAGCCGGCATCGGCAACGATTGAGGCGGTGTCATTGGTGGCATCGTTGGTAGCACCTGGGCCGGCATCCCCGGTGGCGCATGACACAATTGAGAGACAACAGAGCTATGTTTTAATATATATTTGAAGGAAAGAGAGATGGGGAGAAAGATTGATAGGAAGAGATTGTGTGTGCAAGAGAAGATGAGATTAATTGTGTTAATTATTCCTATTTATAAAAGTTTAAGTTTGAACTCTTTTTTGGGACATGACATATGTGTGGTCCTTTTCCCACTTACTGTATAAACATTAATAAGGGGTGATAAATAGAGCTTCAACCGAAACCACTGCACATTACTTTCATCAAACTTCTGATTTGTACCCCTTTTACGTAAAGATAGCTGTGTGTATCTTTTAGGTCTTTGCTGGGTTGAAAGTTTGTGGATTGGCCTCTTCGATTTTAGTTGAAGGCTTCGAGGATTATTTCTGCCTGGAGGAAATAAGCGTTTATTGAATCCTGTAAAAATGACAAATTCTACGTGATTTCTAACTTGGGATTTGCTGATTGGATGCAGGAGGGGTGCCTGCAAAAATGACAAATACTTGATTTCCAACCTGATGGATTCACTAATTAGATGCAGCAGGGGTGGTAATTTTCAAAAGATTCTCAGGGTTTTCATAATCGGGGAAACATTGCTCAGAAGTTGTTATTGATAGGGTAACTGAAGCTGCAGGTGCTGCAGATAAAGGGGGAGCGTTGATCGAGGTTTCTGTAACCAACTATGGAAAAACAAAAGGGTGAGGATTGGAGGGAGATGGTGAGAAATATGCTTCCTCCAGGGGTTCCCCTCCCCGCAGAGGATGCTAATCTAGATTACTCTATAGCTCTGGAGTACAAAGGTCCCCCAATATTGTATGACCTTCCAAAGGTGGAGCCCATCGATACTAACTGTAATGCAATTCCGAGAGCATCTGGAGCAGAATCTCATTCAGATTCCAGGAGATCAATGACCCATGATGTCCTTGACCCAATCCCTATACCGGTCTCTTGTATTGCCGGTGTCACCAGTCCACGCATTCAGAGTCCTAGGGTGTCGAGAAGCTCCGAGTCCCAGGTGTCTGTCCTGAGTCCTGGATCATCATCTGGTTCGCTCTCGGCATCTCCTGCTTCGGCAGACAACCCTGCAGAAAATGCTAGGATACCTGTGGTCAATCAGGGGAAGAGAGCTCCAGTCGTGACTTTCAATACTGTTGATAGATCCGTGAAGAAAATGGAGGATCGGGCTTTTAATGAGTATGTTGGAGTTTCCAAAGAAAACAAAAAGAAGAAAACAAGACTGTGTTGCAGGTGTGGAAAAGCAAAGTGGGAAACCAAGGAGCCCTGTTTGGTTTGTGATGCAAAGTATTGCAGCAGTTGTGTGCTTAGAGCTATGGGTTCGATGCCCGAGGGGCGAAAATGTGTTTCATGCATTGGCGAGCCAATTGATGAGTCCAAGCGGTCTAAGCTGGGAAAACACTCCAGAGTGTTGTCACGTTTACCTAATCCTTTGGAAGTTAAGCAAATAATGAAAGCTGAGAAAGAGTGTGCTGCTAATCAGCTTAGACCTGAGCAGCTGATTGTTAATCGGTTCCCTTTGAAATCAGAAGAGATGGCTGAACTATTTGGATGCCCTTTACCTCCTCGAAAGTTAAAGCCCGGTAGATATTGGTATGACAAAGAATCTGGTCTTTGGGGAAAGGTAACTTCTATATTTGCAATCAAAGCAAGATTAGTTTTTAAAAGTAAGAACTCAAGAATTATTACCTTATTATGATTGATCAGGAGGGAGAAAAACCTGATAGAATTGTGTCTTCAAACCTGAGTTTCACTGGGAAGCTTAGTCCTGACGCAAGCAATGGGAACACAGAGGTCTACATGAATGGCCGGGAGATAACAAAACGCGAACTCAGAGTTTTGACGGTGAGGCTTTATAATATCATCTAGGCACATTTTCTACTTTATCATGACTATTTTCAATGGAAGGAAAGCTACTTTTAAATGGTAATAATGGTTTGTATTTAATATGCATATACATAGGTATATACGGAGTATAATTAATGAAGGATCAATTAGACTAACTTCACAACTTAAACATCTATATTTTTATCTTGTTAAAGCTACTTCAGACAAGTAATTATTCTAATACAGTGAACCCAAGATAAGTATGGAGCAATAAGGAAAATCTCTAACAAACTACGAAATCAGGATCAAACTCTTTAAAATAATAAAGTTGAAGGGAAAATGGGAAATCCTCATCAAATTATGAGAAGGAATCCTAAACTCACATAAAATAAAACCCAAGGAATATCTCGAATGATAAATTTGAATTTAGTTCTAGATTAGATAATGAGCCTCAATATATATAGAATCAAAATAACTACCATTCCCTAGAACTTTGGCTCACTTACACATTACTTTCTACTTAGTAATTAAAAGTATATAAAATAAAGCATTTGACCAAGTAAAGAAATGAGCCTTGCCGACTCTACTAATTCCAAAATATGATATGTAGGAACACTTAGAGATCTAGGATTAGAGTAGTTTGTTAGGCCTAGTGTGTTAAGTCATCACCTAGTCCACGACTAGTTGTGTGGGCGACGGTTTCATCCACGCTACTTCTTAGTCGCCCAGTGCCTGAGGGAAGACTAAATGTCCGGTCGTGCAAATTGATGCCTAGGTGTCGCCTAGTCTTCCCCTAGTGTGTGTTTGTAACCCTAACTTAATATTACCATACCGGATCCAATTTAAGTTTAAGAAGCAGTCAAAGCTTCTTCAAGAAAACCTCATAATCGGCATAAGTAGTTAGTTATTTTTGGTGAATGGTGATATATACAGAGTATAATTTTAGTAGTAATTGTGATTTGTCGACTAGTCAATGACTAGAAGGCCGACTAGTCCAATAGTCTCTTTTTCACTTACTCCACTCGACCTGTTGCAATGATAACCATGCTTTAGACCTCTAGGCCCTAGTTTGTAGTTAATGTTGGGGTGTTTTTGCCTTAGGTTGTCGCTCTGTGCTTAGGTTCTAGTTGCTAGTGTCAGTATGTGTGTTCCTTGTTTCTATACTCTTAATTTGTTTGTGCTAATGTGTTTGCTTATGTGTTTTGAGCTAGGGGTCTCTTGGCAACAATCTCTCTACTTCCATGTAGGGGTAAGATCTGCACACACACACACACCCCAGACTCTACTTTTATGGGATTTAATTGAGTTTGTTGTTGTTGTGATCAACTTTAGCATAGCACCTGCCAAAATCACTCTACTTCCTGCAATCAACTTTAGCGCCTGCCAAAATCACCATCTGTTAAACGTTCTATGTTTAAAACGTGCATGTTTTTTTATAAACAATACCACACCCTGGTGCTCCCTCTAAGTAACACAAATATGTTCTCTGATATTCTAGTTTTCTTTTAACTAAGTGCCAATCCGTTCAAGATTTTGGCTAAGTTTTCCGAACCATGCACAAGGACTCTATTTTGAGACCATACAAACATTTACGAAGCCAACACACTCCCATATAAACTCTTGATGTCTCTTTCTACTATTTTCCTCTTGAAGATAACCATCTAAGGCTTTTTAAAAGTGCAGCTGATGTAAACGCATGCATGATGTGGTGTGTCTACACAAGAAATGCCAGTTTTTTCTTCCAGCCACTCCATTGTGAGGGGCATCTACACAAGAGGTTTGACATATCATGTTGTTCTGAAGGATCTTAAATTTTAAGGGCTCAGACAAAAATTTCTTAGCATTGTTGCGTCTAGAGCATCTCCAATGGGATTGTTAAAAAATGGGTTGTTACATGCTATTTTAGCAAGCAAGTAGTGTTTTAACAATCCCTTCAACCATGCATGTCTAATAACAAAATAGATGAATGGGAAGATGTATAACAACAAATGTAGTTGTTATATATAGCAAGTGTGTTGGTTAAAATAACATATTTGCTATAACTTACCTCTTTCCTTGGATTGAACAAGAATAGAAATAAGTTTCTAAAATTGCTACTCCCTCCGTCCAGAAATAATCTTCCCGTTTCTCCTTTTTCTCCGTCCGGAAATAATCTTCCCATTTCAATTTTTCATACACAAATTACCCAAAATACCCCCACTCATTTATCACCCTCTCTCTCCTCCCTCATTTCTTGGCCTTCTCTCTGCTCTTCTATTTCTCACTTTCCCTTCTTCTCTCTCCCCCCCCATATTCTTTCACGCCTCTTTTTTCTCTCTCAAGATCTGCTCCTCTTCCTCTGTCTCCTTCCTTCCTTCATATTATTTCTCCAAATCCGCTCGTCCTCCTCCAGCCCCTTCTCCTGTCTCCTGTTTATTTGTCTTCCAGATTTGCCAGGTTTGGACAGATCTGTTCTTGATATGGCAATGGCGGCAGCGGTTAGGTAGGACTAGCGATGGCGGTGACTGATGCAATGGTATGAGTTGCGGTGATGGTGAGTTGTACTCAGTTTTTGTAGATCTAATTGGGGCGGACCACAATTGTGGTGGGGACTAAGGCAGTGGTGGGGCTGTCGGGCGGTGGAGGTGGGGACCGGAGATGGCGGAGGGGGTTGGCGATGGTGGGGGTGGCGGTAAAGGGGGGCCGGCGGCGGTGGCTGTAAAGAGGGGCTGGCGGCGGTGGCGAGATTGGACGGAGATTGTGGAAGCAAATGGCAGAAGGCTGGTGAAGGCAGTGGTAATATTGGCTAAAGAAAAGGGTAGTTTGGACATTTTCATCCCATTGTCAACTCTCCAAAAAAATGGAAAAAAGTCAAAATGGGTAGATTAATACCGGACGGAGGGAGTACTATATTTTAGCTTTTAGCAACAAGGTTGGAGATGCTCTTAGATAACAAACACAAATATTCAACAGCATTTTGTTTTCAGCAAAAAAGGCACATAAAAGTAAAAAGACTCCACATATACGGAGTACTTTTTATCATGTATAACAATGTCATCCAAGAGAAGTTTTCCACAAAAGTAACAAAGTATCAAAAGCGAGACTTAGACACAACAAGATGAGCACCCCAAACATCAGAATGAAGAACTTCAAAAGGGGCATTTGTGCATTTAGTTACTACAAGACGTAAACTAGTGTGATGATGTTTCACAAACTGGCACATAAAAGCGAAAAGAATTCATATTTTTTTCATCAAATATAACAATGCCATCCAAGGAAGTTTTCCAAAAAAGTAACAAAGTATCGGACGCGAGACTTCGAGTTTGTCCTCTTCAACTTATTCTTATTGGAATCAAATCAGACCAAATCAGATAAGAAACAACTTTAAATATAAGTTGAATCAGGCCCAGATCAGATGAGACCATCAGATGAGACCTTAATAAAATCAAAGTCGACACAAAGGGAACTTGATCTTAGACACAACAAGATGAGCACCCAAAAAATAAGAATGACCATGTTCTAAAGGGGCATTTGGTCGTTTAATTACTAGAGAATTAAAACTAGTGTGATGATGTTTCACGAACTGGCACAACTCACATTTTAAAAAGATACATTATGAAACTTTGGATAGATTTTCCTTAAGCTGGAAAGAGATCCGCCCTAGTTGACGGGATTCCTACTCCAAGACTCGATGTAGTTTGTGGTATGGAAGTATCCAAGAGATAATTACCGGCTGGCACATGTCCTTTACTAACAATCTGCCTTGTTACCAAATCCTTAAATATACAAAAGTTGGGGGAAAAAGTCATGGAACAATTCAGTTTTGGATAAATTTACTAATGGAAATCAAATTGAAAGCAAAATAAGGAGACTTAAGGCTGATGATAGGGATAGTGTGGGCGGAACGACCTTACCCGATCTATGTACAGGTGAAATGGACCCATTCACCAAAGTAGTATTAAAGGGATGGTAATTGTGAGCAAATGATTTGAAAAGATTAGAATGATCTGCGTTATGATCTGTTTCATCAGCGGTGATCACCCCATTTGGACGATGACTGAAAAAGATAGGTATTAGGATTACCCAAATCGGAAACAGTAGAAATAAGAATAGATGAATTTATCTTTCAAATGTTCTTGATAAATTTCACCATTTTTTGGCTTTGGGGTGTGATGGAATAAATCAAAATGGATCTCTAAACTGTCTGCGCTTCTTTAATTAATGAAGTAGCAGTTGGTCAAGCAATGCAACTTTCGACGTTGAGCCGGGGGTCTCTTTGGAAAGAGCCTCTCTATTTTCGAGTAGGGGTAAGGTCTGCGTACACACACCCTCCTCAGACCCTACTCTTGTCTGATTTAACTGGGTTGTTGTTGTTGTTGTTATGTTCTTGATAAATAGGATATTTGGTAAAGTCATTGGCAGAGTGTGATTGATCCTTCTTGTTGCAAGGCAACACTATAAGCAGACTGAATAAGTGTCCAGATTTCTTACAACATTCGTAAGAATAAGGGAAATTAGTGTGAACAGAGGAGACTTTTTCATTAAACAAAACTTGGAATTTGGCTGTTTCAAGTTGAGAGGTCCTGCCAGGAAACTCATAGCTGCCATTTGTTTGTGGTTTATCTACAGGACATTAAGAAATGTATTAAGTTCTAGTTCTTCATAAATTTTCTTGATTTCATTGAAGTTGATCGCGAGGGGGTCTCACTCATTATTTCCTGGTAAAGTGCTATACACATTCCATAAATGGTTTTAAGATTGCCCTTACCTGAATACAACATTAATCCAAGGTAGTCAAAGAGGTCCTCGAGAGTGGCAAAATGAATAGTCTAGAATCATCACAGAGCCATACTTTTTTTGCAGCTAATGCACAACTTTTTTATTTTAAGTACAGGCCTGCGAAATCATCTATCCAGCTATATATGTAGATTTATTTGCTGGTTTAACAGAAGTTAACATACTTCACTTATTTTAGACACTTTTATGTAGTATTAAATCCTTTATATATATAAATGAGACTCCAAGCTCTAAGAGAATGACACATGGCAAGCTCTAAGAACACAACACGTGGTGTTATTGTGTATGTGACACCTATATAAAAAATTAAAAGAATTAAGTCCTTAAAAGAATGGAATATTCCGTGGCATTGCTCCTAAGAAAATAAAAAATAATTGAATATTTACTTTCTTTTTTTAGTTTTTCCAAGTTTAATTTTTTTCTTCCTCTCCTTTCAGTCATTTTTTAAAACTAATATTTACCTTTCCAAAAACTAAATCATCAAAATTTAGTATTTCTAATATTTTTGTTGGATTTCAATTAATTTTACTTCTTTTATTTGGTAGCACGCCCATATTCTATGGTAGTTTAGGATGCTATGAAGAAAGCGCCAAAAATTTTAGAGATTCTGCACATTTACAATTCTCAATTTGTTCTATGAAAGTAAAAAGTTTAACTCTCTCTTTTAAGGAAATCCTAGATTTGTTCTTTAGTAAGTTTAACATTTTCAGTATTATTGAATCTATAACACTGTAATATTTCAAAAGGAAAGAGAATGAATATCGCCATTGAAGTTTGAACATGGGCGAGATTCCCATTTAGAATTTTTTGGGTAGTTCTATCTACAACCACTCAAGTCAAGAAAAAAGCTCTTATTTAACGCAACTTATATAAAAAGTTCACACTTTATGAAACAATAGTACATTTTTGTTCACATCTATTGAAAAAGAACTAAAACATCTCACAACAATGGTCGAGCAAATCCAAAGTTTACTCTTAATGGTGGTTTTAGTATTACATAGGATCTTGATTGCCATTAAATATCAAATACTCTCTCCGTCCACAAATAAACTTTACATTACGCGTTACGATGTTTGACTGAAGTTATTTTCAAATCATTTTATATGAAAAATGGTGTAGAATTGAAAAATAAAAATTACATATTAAAAAACTATATCAAAAGATCTACAACACTAGAGGTGACATGACTATATTATTTTATCAAATGGGTGACGAAAATAGGCCAACATAGTGAATAAAGTTTGACCCTGTGAATAGTGAACGTAAAGTTTATTTGTGGACGGAGGGAGTATGATAAGTCATTTCAAGTATTTCAATAGCTTTATTGTACTCAAATTTATTCAGCACACATACTATTTACATACCTCACACAACAAACCTCATATTTTACAATATTATATATTAAAAACACCAAAATGTCCATTTTGTATGATTCAATATGTATAAGAATGTTTCGACTATCATAATAATTTAGTATCCATAGATAAATTGAAAAACCTGATAAGTCAACATAATTTTTTAAAATAAGGTTTCAAAGGGCCGGAAATAATGCATCGTGGAAAGTATTATGATGTAGCATGAGACGATTATGAAACATATCTCGGGACTTGAGACATTATATTGTTCCCAATGTAAATGAAGTTATCGCCTAATAATTTTTTATAAATTTAATTTATCTAATGCCGGGAGAGATATCAATCTAAATAAATTAAATGAGATTTTATAGAGAATCTATGAGACACGCATAAGATGAGTAAAAATGGAAATATAAAACTTTTTTGTAGGACGAGAGAATATATAGTATTAGAAGTATATTTTATTTTATCATTTAATAATATTGTAGTAAATAAATACGGGAAGACTATAGTATCAGAATTATATTATATTTATATTTTTAATAATAAAGGAGAGAACTATTATTTTTAGTCAATGGGGTGGTGCGGGATAGTAGAATCATGGTAATGCGTTAGAGAAGAATAATATTTTTCATAGAATAAAAAACAATTTTATTTCACCCGTACATGGCACGAGTTAAAATACTAGTAACATTAAATATACAACAACAACAACCTAGTTGAGTCCCACGAGAGTAGGGTTTGGGGAGGGGGTGTGTGTATGTAGACCTTGCCCCTACTCGAAAGTAGAGAAGTTGTTTCCAGAAGACCACTGGCTCAAGCTGCAGAGATAAAAAAGATCATAGAGGTACATAAAGCAGAGAAGAAAGAACATATAAATCACAAAACACACCGAGGTAAAAAACAAATTAAGGATAACGAAGGAAAAAAATTCAAGCAGAGAGCATCAAGCATACAAGGCATACAAAGCGCCTACCTAACTACTCTAATCCTAGCACTCCTATTGCAGAGAGCATCCAATAATGGAAAATATAAACTTTGATAAAAATCAATATGCAATTCTCCATTGAAGACCAACTACGAATGTCATGTAGAAAGCCATCATGTATCGCACAACATCCCCCTGGGACTTTTTAAAAATCTTTTAGTGCTTATGTTGCATCTTGGAAAAGTAGTAAAGCTAATCAATTGCTCATTCACTACATATACCTGCGAGAATCCTTTTTTGACTAATAAGTTTCATAATTGGAATCCTTTCTTAGGACTAATACGTTTCATAATTTAAAGCAGAAACAGGAAAATGAAATTACTGATTCGTAACTTAATATTCCTAAAAATTTGTTTTCTTTTACTCTTTCTTAGGACTAATAAGTTTCATACTTGGATTCTCAATTTTTGATATGGAGGAAGTGTTATGGATTCTCAATTTTTAATATGCTCCTCCCTACTTCACAAGATTTTAATCCCTGTATTCTGCAGAAAATTGTACAATAGGTAAATTCATTCATAGAAGGGAAATTGACCTTATTTTAGAATTTCATGATTTTTTAGCTTGCGAATGTGCAATGTCCCCGTGACACCCACTTTTGGGTATATGATGATGGCCGCTATGAGGAAGAAGGACAAAATAATATTAGAGGAAATATATGGGAAAAGGTACAAGGAACTATGATATGTTGATTTCAGTTTATTTGTTTTGTTTGTAAAAGAAAGCATCTTAATCTTATTTTCTACATAGGCATCAACACGGTTCCTCTGTACATTGCTTTCCCTTCCTATACCCAATGGTCAGTCACATAGTCAAAAGGATGAACCAAGCACATATACCTCTGTTCCAAATTATTTGGAGCAGAAAGGAGTTCAGAAACTTCTATTACTTGGACTTGGAGGCTCTGGAACCAGCACCATATTCAAACAGGTGAGTAATTCATTTGTGTTTGCAAAAGATATTTTGTTTGTCATTGTTTAATTTTGTGTTGTATTGGTGAATTTCTTCTTTTCTTATATTTAGTATATTTTGCAAATCATAAATTGCATGCACAAAAACTTTACAATTTGATATACTCACAGATTATCTTAATTCTTGAGCAATTGATGTAGCAATTTTTAATATTCTCCTTCCAATTTGTGGGCCAGGGATGATATCCATGATTTAAAAAAAAAATCACGTTCGGTCCCACACTACCACGACTATTAGGCTTTTCCCCTTTTTGGTACTTGCCTTCTATTTTTTCCACTTTTGGTGTACAAGTAGTGTACAACTATGGATTTTTTGCCACTTTAGTCTTTTGCCTTTGTCCATTTATTTGACTAGTTTTTATATAATTTGGGCTGATTTTCACTAGATAAAAAAGCATAAGGGACAATAGTGGCAACAAGTCAACAATCATGCTCCAAACGTGATGTTGGAAACATGGAAAAACCTAATAGTCGTGGCCTCGTGGGACCAAAAGTGAAATGCTTTCTCCAATTTTTCAAAAACGTAATTCATTGACGCCCTTTACATTATTCAAATGGTTACGAATCAGAACGAAAATAAGAAATGAAAAACTACACCATAATGCTTATTTACAGGTGTGCACTTACCTCATCGGTTCGCACTAGTAATTTTGACCAATGTTTCCAGGAATGTTAAGAATAAGAAATGAAAAACTACATCATAATGCTTATTTACAGGTGTGCATTTACCTCATCGGTTCGCACTAGTAATTTTGACCAAAGTGTCAGGAATGTTAAAATGTTATTAAGGTTAAATAACTTATAAACCATAAAAAATGTTAAATGAAGTATGATAATGAAGGAGAATGAAATTGATGCTCTTTTGTAACTTTTTAAGTCAAGAAACTATTAGTTCGACTAATGGGCCTAACCACTTAAGGTTTTTACCTTTTCACATCTCTCATTTTTGTGCAACCTAAACAGCATTTTTCTTGCTCAAATAGTTGGATGATTTTAGCTTCCTTTGCTTGTCACCCTTTTATTCAATCCACTTTTTAGTTGATAAATCACATTCTGAATCCCATCTTGATTTCCTCAAAGCGTGCTCAACTCATATAGTCATATAGTTTCCTCTTTCCTCTTGTTGATTCTTTCTCAACAGGCCAAATATTTGTATGGGAACAAGTTTAGTGCTGGAGAGCTGCAAGATATTAAGCTCATGATTCAAAGCAATATGTACAAGTATCTAAGCATTCTCCTTGATGGACGGGAACATTTTGAAGAGAAGGCTTTTTCGAAACGAAACGAAGGTTCATTAAATTTTTAGCACTATTATTGTGAATCATATGCAAACTTTAAAGTTTATATTTCCGGATCTTTATTATTTTAAGTAATACTTCCTATGTCCTAAAATAGATGCTACCATAAAATTTGTATATTACTCACACACTCTCAATTTACCATCTTTTGTGATTTAAATGTAAGGATTCGATATGAACTCTCATAATATCATATTTTTTAGTTTTTACTAAAACATAGTTGAATATACTACCGATTTTCTTTGAATATTGGCAAACATGAAATTTATCATGTTGCAACTATTCTAGAATGGGAAAGGATTACCTTTTAAACTTGTGGATACTGTGCTGTGGGCGAGTTTTATACCTGGATGCCATAAAGTTTATATAGTGTGTGTACAGATGTTGATCTGAATAGAATTAAATTTCAGGCTATGTGAAATGATTGTTCAGGATTAATTTTGTTCGTCTTTTTCTAACAGTGTTTTACTGTTACTGCTTTTGATGTGTACCACATTTTAAAAATACTAGTAGCTTTACTCTTGTTTATTAGGTAGTTATTCTTTTGAGGGGGGAATATTTAGTTATGAGATGATTCTTTATTCTTTGACAAAAGTAAACTAAAAAGATTTTCAATATTTTGATAGCAAACTCGAAGAGTTTATTTGTTCTAATGAAGATCTGATGCATTTTAATTGTGCTATAATCATAAGTTTGTTTTTCTTGACTGGTCAATATTTTTAATACAAAAAATCAGTTTATTACTTATGGGGATGTTTAAACTACCATGTGGCAATCTCTTGTGCAAATTATGAAGCCTAACACTTATTTATAATAGGGTCGATTGATGCTTGATCAAGAAAAGAAGTTCCATTGAGTTGCAATCTTCAGCTTGGATTGTTTAACTCTTGATTTGTTTTGTTCGTTAATTATGTATTATGGATTGTGGTTATGTTACTATTAAGATTTGTGTATTATTTTCGAGTCCCTTGGTGTATTTATGAGTTTAAGGATAACAATAATGAATTCTGATTCAACATATTGGTTGATTTGATGTTTTGTTGTAGGCGGAGTTCACTCATGGGAATGTAACCAATGTGTATATTCTCTAAACCCAAAGCTGAAGCATTTTTCTGATTGGCTGTTGGATATCATAGCCACTGGAGATTTAGATTCTTTTTTCCCTGCAGCAACTCGTGAATATGCCCCCCTAGTTGAAGAGTTGTGGAAGGATCCAGCCATACAGGAAACATACAAGAGGAAAGATGAACTTCCCTTCCTTCCAGATGTTACCGGTTATTTCTTAAGCAAGGTATGCTTAAAGGTTTTATTCCGAGAAGCACTTTTTTTCTTTTTATTAATACATAGAAAAATGAACAACTAAAATTATGCCATCTTTAGTGCTTAAGCTTTATTCAGTCAGTTAAATCAAAGTTTGAAAACTGCCTAATAAAAATGCTCCAAGCCCAAATTAGACTATTAGATAACTTATTTTGTATTCTTCATGTTTTACCTAAACTTTGATGTACATAAGCTTTGGTTGGATGCTTAAGGAATCAGAACAGAGTAGGCATCTTAGTTTATTATGAGTGAAGGAAGCAAGCAGTCAAGGTTATGAGGGTTAACGACACAAATATGGCTATTAAGCTAATTGGCTAGTCATTGGAGGGTCCATTTCGAACATTATTAGTGCCTCTGTCCCGCAAGCAGGTTTGCGTGACGAGGATAAGAAGCAGTTTTGAAAGAATCTGGACAAGGTGGTGAGGAGTATACTACAAATGGATTTTCGGAAGAGTACTCACAAGTCAGAAGGCAGGCTTGGAGTGGTTGACTAGGCTGTTTAATGTGCTTTTGAAGAAGGCAAAAGCGCACAGGGAATACAGGGAGACTACATTGATTCCGTTGTACAAGAATAAGGGGGATATTCAAAGTTGTAACAACTATAGGGGTATTATGTTGCTAAGTCACATTATGACAGTTTGTGAAAGGGTGGTAGAACTGAGGGTGCAGAGGAGCATGGTTATTTCTGTGAACCAATTTCAATTCATACTGGGGTGCTGGACTACTGAAGTCATTCATCTAGTAAGGGGACTGGTGCAGAAGTATAAGGAGAAGAAGAATGATCTTCACGACTTCATATGTAGGTGCTCAGAGACTAAAGGTGTACCTGTGGCATGCATGAGAGCGATCAAGTATGTGCACAATTGAGCCAAGACTCATGTAAGGTCAGTGGGAGGAGATTCAGAGCCTTTTCTAGTTGTGGGATGCATCAGGAATCTGCTCCCCTTCCTTTTTGTCTAAGTAATGAATGAATTGATGAGGCAAATCCAAGGCAAGGTGACATAGTTATGATTGATGAAATACGTTGTGGAGTTAATGCTAAGCTAGAGGTTTGGAGACTGACTCCGGAGACCAAAGGGTTCAAGTTGAGCAGACCAAGATGAAATGCTTGGAATGCAAGTTCAGTGATATTACACATGAGTCAGATGTGGAAGTTTGCCAAGAGGGATAGTTTCATAAGTTCCACAAATTGTTCAAATAATGGCCGCTTCATGTCCTTGAAGTGTCCCTGTTTGGGTACATGGGAACGTCCCAACACCCAAATCTTTATAAAAATTTGAAAAGTTGGCGTTTCCCATCCTTTTCCCAGTGCAACTTAGAACTCTCAGGTACCATGGATCCCTAAGCCAAGAGAATGGGGAGATTGATAACGATGTCACACATGGTATTAGAGCGGGGTGGTTGAAATGTAGAGTTGCCTTTGGATTTTGTGTGAACTCTCGATGAAAGCACTAAATGGACTTTAATCCACCAAGCACACGACAATGGACTATGAATATAAAATGAAAAATATAGATCAAGAAGCAGATAGAAAACACCTGTAGAATGTTCATGTATTCCTAGTGAGATTCCTTGTGGGTGAAGGTCTATTTATAGCGCAAGTCATGGGTAGTTACTATCCCTTTTCCTAGGACCTTATAGTGGATCATGAACTAGCCATCTAGGGTACCCCCCTGCCCCCACTCCCTAACCTAATTGGAGTGTTGTGTCATACTCTCATCTGTTTGTCATTATACGGGTGGATTCCTCATGCGGGTTGGATCCTAACTGCCCACTCATGTGGGCGACCATATTAATAAATAGGGGGCTTGGTATATTCTATATGATAGACAGATACTTCGTGTTGGTCTCTGTATACCCATCACATGCCCAAAATGTAAGGTAAACTTTTTACATGGTGGTTATTGGACCGTCATTGTATGTGGTGGAATGTTGGCCAGTTAAGAACACTCATGTTTAGAAGATGCAAGTTGCTAAAATGAGAATGCTGAGGTTGGTGTGTATTCTTACCAAGAGTGATAAAATTAAAAATGAGGATATAGGTATGGGAGGGAAACTGAGATGGTGTGGGCACGTGAAGAGTAGAGACACACCCTAGGAAGGTATCAATGTTTGGACAGTGTGCGATATGTTTGTCATTAAGCCTGCGATCTGTTGGCCCGATCTGATAAGATTTTTTGATGTTCTGATTTGGTTTGATCTCATCTGATTGGATATGATATGAATTTGATTAAAATTCAAATTTAATTTTTTTTTATAATAGTTATAATAATAATAGAAATATTAATAATAATAATAGCAATAGTAATAGAAATAATTATAGTAATAGTATTAATAATAATAGTAGTAATAATAGTAACAATAATAATAACTATAATAATAATACTAATAATAATAGTAATAATAACAATAGAAAGAATAATAATAAAAATAATTATAATAATAGTAATAATATTAGTAACAATGATGATAATAATAATAATCATAATCCTAATAATAAAAATAGTAATAATAATATTAGTAGTAGTCATAATAATAACAATAATAATTAAAATAACAATATTAATAATAATTATAGTCATAATAATTATAATAGTAATAGTAATAGTAATAGTAATAGTAATAATAATCATAGTAATAATAATAGTAATAATAATAATAATAACAATAATAGAAATAATAATAATAATAATAATAACAAAAATAATAATTGTAATAATAGTAACAATAATAAAAATAGTAATAGTAATAATAGTAGCAATCATAATAATAGTTACAATAATAATATTAATCATATTAATAGTAATAATAATAATAGTAATAATAATAATAATAACAATATGAATAATGATTATAATCATAATATTAATAGTAATAGTAATAATAATACTACTACTAATGGTAATAATAATAATAGTAATTATAATAATAGTAGTAATATTATTATTTTTGTTTAGATCTAGTCTGATTTGATTCGATCAATCTGATTGGATTTGATCTGATGTGATTTTAATAAGAATAAGTAATAAGCAGAAAAAATAAGTTGAATGGAATGCTGCCTAATACTCCTCATGATGGGGATGTAAAGAGGAAACTCTGATATAGTATTTCAAGATAAAAATCTCACACACATGAAAGAATGGGAAAGAAATTGGGTAACCAATCATGAAAGGAGAAGAAAAAAGATAATACTCCCACCGTCCCAAATTAAGTGGCATGTTTACAGGGTCAAACTTCATTCATTTTCTTTCCTTATTTTCGTTACTTATTTGATACTCCCTCCATCGAGCTATATTCGTCCACTTTGGGTTTGGCACACAAAGCAAGGTGAGGGGTAAAATGACGAAATTACCCCTAAAATGCAAGCTTCTCTCTAGCATGGTCCTCCCCCGCCCCAATCCTAGTCCAAGCTCAAAATTAAGAAAGAACATAATATACAATCCGAGTCTGTATCCAACCACGCTAAGAATGAGAGAATTAAATCAGAATTCGATGACACCCTTAAATCAGAATTTGATGACTGAGAAATGACGAAATTATGATTTCATAAAGATGGTCTAAATGAGAACTCCATAGGTTTAAGATAAAAAGTCGGATCTCTATAAAAAAAAAAGGACAAACATCCGTCATTCTGTCCTCCACCAGTTAAGCGTCACAAGCCTCCCGACCTCCCTAGCCTTAAATTTAAATCTCCATATAAATAAGATTGAAAATTGATGATGTAAGAAAAGTTGATGGCCATGACAAGAGAATAGAATGGATATGGCAATTCTTGGGTTTGAGAGATCGGTACTCCTATGCAAACATCTCTAGGCCAAAGAAATCGAAGAGCTTGTAGATGAGTGAAAGAGGATAACGAAGGTAGATATGAACAAGAAACGGAGTAGATAGTGACGGTAAAATGAACATTTCATATCATTTTTGTTTCCTTAAAAAGAAAGTGGACGAAACTGTGGGACGGCCCAAAAAGGAATACTGAAAAATAGTGCGCTCTCAGCGCCTCAAAAAAATTGGGGTATCTCGGAGGGAGGGGGGCCTATGGTGCCTAAGATGACCAGGCGCGCTCTCAGCGCCTCAAGGAAGCTAAGTGAGGTGAGATCCCTAAGGCGGTTGCCTTTCTCGCTTTTCTCGCCTCAATCACTGCCTTAGGCATTCGCCTAGCTCGCCTTTCAGTAATCCATGCATATTTTGTTTTCCTTTGACAATAGTGTAGTTTGTAAGGCTTTAGGGTATATATAATGCATAATATTTATATACGGAGTATATGGTATCAATATTATGTGTTGATACATACATATATATAGTAACATACTTGCGCACACACAAATATATATATATATATATATATATATATATATATATATATATATATATATATATATATATATATATATATATATATATATATATATATATATATATATATATATATATATATATATATAATATGTATGTTATGTATATAGATATATAATGTAGTAACATACTTGCACGCACACACACACATGTGTGTGTGTGTATACATATATGCATGCATGTTCACCATGCCTCGCCATAAAAAAGGTCCTCTCGCCCGCCCCCTCGCCACACACCATTAATAAATATGATTTACCTCTTTTTATTTTTTTCCATGTTAATATTTTTGTGATCCACACTTATTGTTATTTTTTCTTTCACTTTTTAATATCAATGATACAATGTTTTTTGTTTATTATTTTACATGACACCAACCCATGTTCCAAAAATAATGGATCAAAGAGTTATTTTTGTTAATATGGTGATGACGACGACGAGGGTGGATCGAGGAGAAGAATGGCCTTTTAGAGCTCCTTTAGGCCGTGTAAGTATAATGTAATTATAACATTCGTAACCGGATTCGTTTCAACATGAGTCATTGTTTAACTATGTCATCTGACGCCCTTTTTGGGGATGAAACTTCCTTTGTCGGGTCAAGATTCCACCTCATTTGTAGCAAGCCTTGGCTCTAACAATCCTCTCTATGAAGCATAATGAACGCTCTTTCTACTGGTTTTGAATGAAAAAGGTTTGACTTCACCTATTCGATAAAGACTTTTTTTCCGTAACCTATTTCACACCCAATTTCGCGCAAAAAAAGTACGAAGTTGCTAGGTCGTTTCAAATGAGTTGTTCATTTGGCATAGTTCAACTCATTCTAGCAAATGTTGGTTTGAATGCCCTATCAGTAAAGTCAAAAGAACACCTTTTTAGAAAGCCTATTCGTTCGTCAAGTTCAATAAGATGGATCTATGTCTGCTCTAGGAGAGGTATACCCATAGTTATCACGTCGCTAAGGCAAGTCATGGCACTAGTGTATCGCAATGACGCCTAGGCGCCTAGGCGATTGACTAAACGACTATAAGGCAAAAGCTATTCCCTTCTCAATATAAAGAATTGAATACAAAAGAGAATTGTCCTCCCCCACTCTTTCTTTTTCCTATCTAAAGGGAGTGAACTTCCCCGAGGATGAACAAACAAGACTTCAAGGCTACTTCTCCGCCTATCAATGTTGCATCATAGTGTGCTTACCACAACATAAGATGCACGTACGTACCAATTTGTCTTGCCGCAGTACATATGGTGCAAGATGATTCCACATATTGAGGTCGGAATACGATCGGGTATTTTTAAGTCTTATCGTAGTGCTGGGTTTGGTTTATTTCCGACTGATGTACAAGAAGGAAAGTCCCTCAGCTACGTGTCCTCTCCTCTCCCGTTGCTCGACCTACGGGAGAGGAACGAAGTTGCTGGAGTGTAACGATTCGTTGAACATAGTTCAACTCATTTGGTAAGGTGTATAGAGATTCATTTCACATAGTGAAACTATGGTACGTAGTAGCTTAGTTGACATAGTGAACCTAAGGGAGTTGGTTAAAGAAAACTCTCTCCTTGAAGGAGTTCGACCTTAGCTTCAACTTCAAAGCATGGCATGGGGTTCAAACACACAAAAAAGTCTTGGAGGGGGGTTCACTATATTTGGCTTTTGGGTATGATGGAATAAAGCAAAATGACTCTATTTGCACTTCTTTTTCAATAGTGAAGTAGCACTTAGTCAATGAAACTTTCGATGCTCATCACAGCCGCTCTATGTTTAAAACATAGGGCTCAGACTATGTAGATCCAACCCCCCTTACCCGACAATGGCCAGGAGTCTTTGAGGCACTGGGGTAATGTTGATGTTGTTTTTTGTTTACTGGCATAAGTAGTCTAGTCATTATCAGTAGCATCTAAAAGATGGGATTGCCGGTTTCATGTAAACTCATTTAAACCTAGCTTACAATCACTAGTGAAAGAGTGCTCATTGACCTAACTAGCGAATCTGTTTAGAACCAGGTTCAGAAATATAGCTGAAAGTGCTACAAGGAAGAGATTCTATGGTTTTCGGCATTGAAAGTCAAATGATTCTTTTCATTCACGGAAATCGTCTCTATTGAACTATGTAAAGCGCTTTCTAGTAGCAACACGGATTCCCCATTTTGCTAATGGGGCAATTGAAGGCTAACCCGTTATGGCTGTCTTGACTTGGCAACAACAACAAAGCCTTATCCCAGTAAATGGGGTCGGCTACATGGATCAAAAGATGCCATTGTGGCCTATCATGTATCATATCTGCAGTGAGATCATTCATGTGAAGTTCTTTTGTACCTATTTGTCCCAATTCTTTTTAAGTCTACCTTTTCCTCTAGCCACATTCACCATTTATTTAACCCTTCTCACCATATGCTTTATTGGTCTTCTCTCCACTGTGTAAACCACCTAAGACGAGTTTCTACTATCTTTATGATATGGACCAGAATAATGTGAAAATAAACCTAAAGAATTTTTAAAGCAATTGTTGGAATAAATTTGGAGTTGGAATAAAATTGTTGGAATTTTTAAAGCAATTGTCCATTATATATGTTTTTAAAATTGAGGGTTAAATATGTTTTTTATTGGGTTAAATATGTTTTTTCGCATGTAAAATTGAGGGACATTTGCTTTCGGTCTCTCTCAATTTTTAAATTAAGTCAAATCCTTGTAAAATACGGAGTATTGTTTTGCAAATGGTCCTCCCACCAATTTAGAGTTAATCTGCCAGGGTTTGCAGGGACTAAAAATAAAATAAAGTTGCTTTACACAAATAATTTCCATCATCTCCGATGGAGCCAAAATTTCACCATTTTTTGGCTTTGGGGTGTGATGGAATAAATCAAAATGGATCTCTAAACTGTCTGCGCTTCTTTAATTAATGAAGTAGCAGTTAGTCAAGCAATGCGACTTTCGACGTTGAGCCGGGGGTCTCTTTGGAAACAGCCTCTCTACATTCGAGTAGGGGCAAGGTCTGCGTACACACACCCTCCCCAGACCCTACTCTTGTGGGATTTAACTGGGTTGTTGTTGTTGTTGTTGTTGCTTTACACAAATAAATTAAGAGGGACAAAAAACAAAATCGCTAATTTTACAGCAACCAAAACATATTCAACGTTAATTCTAAATTATTTTTTTGTTGTGAGAAGACCATTTTGCAAATTTTTGTGTAGGAATTAGTTAATTAAAAAACTTAGAGGGACTATTTAAAAATTTCTATGAGAATCAGACTTATATGTAATTAGATTTTACTAGTACCTTCAACTTCTATGTCTATAAGAAAAGTTCTCTTAGTGCTGTTAGTGTCATCAGCTATTTTATGTAATTAGATTTTACTTAGATTGGACAAGAATTTTAATAGTTGTTGTTAACGAGTTTAACGATATTACAAATTTCAGAATGGGGATGCGGGGCAGCATCCCCGTGTAGTGGGGTCCAAAGTGACATAAGGAAATCCTTTCGATTTTCTCAAACGGAGTCCAAAGTGATATATATTCGAATGTATAAAACAATAAATTCGAATATAATGTGACCACTAGATGAACAGCCACGTAAATTGACATGTCTAATATCAACCATTCGAATGTTCCCCAATGAATTGCAACGGTTCATTCAAAATGTGGAAGCGACGATTCACATGTAAACCACTACTCACATTCGAATGTTTTGTTAAAATATTTTAATGTTTTGCGTGTGATTGTGTTATTTCACCAACAGACCCGTTTGATCAGTCTTTCCTCTATATATATGAACTTGTAAGGTATGTTTGAGATGCACAGAATTTTCATACTTATTTTAGATACTTACATCTTATCCGATTGAAGTTTTTTGGTAAATCCCAAAATAACCTTAATCTGAAAGCGTGTTTCACACGATACATAAGTCTCTCAAGTCTTCTTCACGTTCATATACCATTCGTTCTAACGCTGCTACAACGTGGTCTTTCCTCCTAATTTTCCAACAATTTCTTCTACCTAACTAGACCAGCGCTGTTAGGAGTTATTAAAGATAATAACTCTTAACTATTCAAATGGATACAAGGGAGGATAATATTAAATACTCATCCATCCGGGAATGTTGTTCTCCTTTTCCTTTTTGGATCGTCCAAAAATGTTCTTCCCATTTACTTATTTGACATATTTTTCATTGTTAAAAGTCATTAATTCCCCTCAACATTACCTTTCCTTAATCTGCACAACTCCATTTCACGCCATCTTTATTTCTATCTTCCTCTTCATTAATCTCCTTCCCTGTACTAAAAAAAAATCTCATCCCAAAATTGGATCTGTGCTACCCCAAAAAAAAGATTGGATCCGTGCAACTCCCATCCCCTTGCCATCTTCTACTTCTTTCTCCCCCCTTCAATTCCTCGTAACTCTTCTTCTCTCAAGACCAGATCAGTGCAGCTCCCACCCCTCGCCATCGTGATCTTCTTCCTCTCCATTCAATTCTTCTCCCTCTCTCATTTTCATAGATCTCTGCGGCCTAAATCAGAACCCCAGGGTTGGGAAGGAATCAAAATAATCGCCGCTCGTCATAGATCTCATCTTTTTCATAGCTCTATCTGTTCAGATTTCGGCCCATTCTGATTTCAATTCCTCCATCGTCAATCCAGGCAAGATTTGGGTCAAAGAGATTCCATTTTCGATTTCATTTTCAAGGGGAGATGGAGGAGAAGCAGCGGCAGAGGGGAGATGAAAAAGAAGCTTCGAAATTGGAAAAGAAGCGGCAGCAGAGATGGAGCAGATGGGGAAGGATCTACAAATTTAGAGTGCAGATGAAGATCGAAGAAGATACGGGAAAAGGAGAAGAAAGCTGTAACATTAAGGATAGGGTAGAAGGGCAAATTGGGAAAGTCAACATTCCTAAATAAGCGTGCCAAGTCAACATGGGAAGAACATTTCCAGACGGAGGGAGTATAATTTAAGCATTATCCTTGACAAGACCAATAAAGTATCGGGTGAAAAGGGTTGATCAAATGGCAAATAGACATGTGGCTAGAGGAAAAGGTAGACCTAAGAAGACTTGGCACGAAGTGGTCCAGGGGGACCTTCGCGTGAATGATCTCACTGCAGATATGGTACATGATAGGGCGCAATGACATTGTTTGATCCATGTAGCCGACCCCACGTGGTGAGATAAGGCTTTGTTGTTGTTGTAACCTTGATATAGATGATCTCATTTATGTGGAGTCAGTCCATTTTACGTATCTGATTCTTACTTCTTGAACTTCCATTATGTATCGGAAAGACTTGATTATAGTGAAAGGATAATACTGGTGCCAAATGAAGACATGCTTTTCCTTCTTTTGTGAACAGGCTGTTGAGGTATCAAGCAATGAGTATGAACCTACAGAGCGTGACATATTGTATGCTGAAGGGATTACCCAGGGTAATGGCTTAGCCTTCATGGAATTCTCATTGGAGGAACGTAGCCCAATGTCTGAAATCTATGCAGACAATCTTGAATCTCTTCCACCGCCTCTGACTAGGTAATACTGCATGCTACATTGCTACCCTATACTACTATAATGCTTAGATTATTTGCATTCGTATTGGAGTATTTGATTACATTAAATTATACCAATATACTCCCTCCGTCCTAAAATTAACTTCTCGTTTTCCTTTTTAGGCCGTCCTAAAATTAACTTCTCGTTTCCTTAAATGGAAAGTAAAAACACGTTAAAAGACACAATTGCCCATTCCTATTTTAATATGCATCTCTCATCTACCTAAAGCCACACACTACTCTTTCCTCTCAATGGATAAGCCTTCTTGATTTGGGCTTCTAGCAAACTGGGTGACAATATGATGCACAGGAGGGGCGCGGCTACTGTATGACAGTTGAAGCTTGAATCTCGGCCATGGATTCAGGTGATGTATGGCAATACAGCTTCTGACACTCCCGGCGTGGCTGATGCGGCGGTGGACAATTATTGAGTTTGGGTTGTCTTTTTGGTTGTTGTTCTTAGGGATTGTAAAGGGTATTTAAATTTATTCATTCATTTTGTTCAATCGGTGAGAAAAGCAGAGAACTTTTCTGAACTTCATATCAGAATTTTGTTTTTAGCTATTGGATTCACTGTTGGCTTGGATTGATGAGCCCTGACAATTTTAAACAATTACTGAGCTTCAATGAGAATCGATGAGGTCCAATGAGGTCCCTATGTCTGATCTGAAATCGGGCTCCCTCAAAGTAAATGCACATATCCGATGCCGTTCATCCAAGCTTCAGCGGTGGTGGATGAGCTCTGGTGAGGTATTCGTTGTTATTTGCGTATGGCAGCTGGTAAATGAAACCCAATTATTGGAAAGAAAAAGGTTAGATGGAGGGCATTTTGGGAAAGTCAACCTAATTTTAACACTTCCTTAAAAATCACCTCCGGTCAAACCGGGAAGTTAATAATAGGACGGAGGGAGTAATATATAATCTCTTCGTTCCCTATAAAAAAGACATCATGTTGCAAACTCCTATGTTCGTCCCATCAAATGTCATATTTGATCATACGAAGCCAATTTTTCATGTAATTTGTCATAAAAGTGGAAACAACCTATGGTTGTGATTGGTGACAGTTTAGACTTTAGAATCACATCTCATTGTTGCTCCTTTCTTTGCAAGAAGATTGCAACAGGGTTGGAATTTTTCCTACTTCATTGTTTTGCATGAGCTGATAGTGTTAATGACTTACTGCTAATTAATCTTAGCAATATAGTTAAGTTAGGAATATAAGTTTCATGCCAATCACCCCAACTAGTTTTGATGAAGATGCTCATGATGATGAACAAATAAATTTAAAAAGAAGGATTAAATTCATAGCAATATTACCTTACCTTTTTTTGTAAAAAAGTTAGACCTTTGTCAAATATCACATATTTTTTGAGAGATGTAGTAGTATTAGGGTCTACCAAAATACACTGGAAGTGCTTTTACAGGACTTTTGTTTTGTGATGCCGGGAAGTAGCACAAGGAAACAATTATTGTGTTTATGCCATCTGATCTTGATTGTTATCACAAAAATCTTATACTCACAATGCGTGTCTCCCTTCTTTCTATCAGGTACCAACTTATAAGGGTAAATGGCAAGGGAATCAATGAAGGGTGGAAGTGGGTAGAGATGTTTGAAGATGTGAGAGTGGTTATCTTCTGTGTTGCTTTGAGTGATTATGATCAGATATGTGTTTCCCCAGATAACAATGGTAATGGAAAGCTATTGCAAAACAAGATGATGCAAAGCAAGGAACTATTCGAAGCAATGATACGTCATTCTTGTTTCAAAAACACCCCTTTTGTATTGTTGTTGAACAAGTATGATCTATTCGAAGAGAAGATGGCGCGAGTGCCTTTGGGTACTTGCGAGTGGTTTGCTGATTTTAGCCTTGTGCAAGCTAATAACAATCAAGCACTAGCGCAACAAGGCTACTACTACATTGCGATGAAGTTCAAAGACCTCTATGCATCCCTCACAGATAGAAAACTCTTTGTCTGGCAATTGCGAGCAAGAGAGAGAGAGACAGTTAGCGAAGCATTCAAGTTTATAAGAGAGGTAATCAAATGGGACGAGGAGAAGGAGGATAATTATATTGGTGGGGTTGATGATTCATTCTATAGCACAACCGATGTTAGCTCGTCTCCTCTTATCAGGCAAGGGTGAAGAAATCATTGGTAGGTACTATGGGGTTGGTTTGCATTTTGTACATAAGCGGGTATAGATAATAATGTAATGAAACCAACTGTCTCAAAATTCGTTTCCCATCGGATCTAGTTGTCTTGAAGTTCGTGCTTAAGTCTATGTTCATTGCACAGCATTTAAAAATGTATCATCCAGAGTATTATCCTCAGACTTTTATTTATGGATGTTGAAGTGTGAGATTCTTACGATCTGGAAGGCGTGATGATGATCCTGCAGAGCCTGTTTTCTACACGGTCCGGTGTTGTCTCTACATAATTTAAACGAATAGTTTTGTTGAAACTTCTTGTATCTTCATATCTTGTGGTGCTAGATATGGAGATTGGGAAGTGCTCTCCTCAAGAACAATAGGAATTGTGAAAATCCTACAGGTAGAAATATATAATCGTGTTGTGACTTTCATTAGGGTATGTTTGGATTGAGGGTAAATTTTTATTAGGTAAGTAATTGAAGGTAGGTAATTGAAAGTAGGTAAAGTAAGATAATAAGTTGAAAAATTTTGTTTGGATATTTATCAGGTAATGTGAGTTAGGTAAAACAATAAAATTACTTAGATATCCTTTTGCTTGTTTTTCTTTATTACATGTTTCACTCTCATTCTTCTCTATGTCATCATCTTCGTCTTCAACTATGTCTAGAGTCCAAGCCTCGTTATGATCCCACGTAGCAAATAGTTGTGTAACAGCAAAAAACACAAAAAAAACAGTGAAAAAACAAAAAAAATAAAAAAAAACATAAGAAAAAACGGCAAAAAGATAAAACGGAAAAAAATAGGGGAAAAAACCCCAAAAAATTTTAAAACAAAACTGGAAAAAAAACATAAAAAAACTAGAAAAAAACAAAGCATGTTATTACAATAATTAGAAAAAAACAGCAAAAAATACACAAAAACAGAAAAAAATAAAAGCAAAAAAAGGGAAAAAATTGAGACCTCACCTTATGGCAGAGGGGGCCAATCGCAGAAAGAAAGCAGCGGCAGAAATTTTACAAGGAAGCAGCGGACAATCGGCGATGGGAGAGGAAGCAATCGCAGGAAAAAAAAGAGAAGGGCAGAGCAGCGGAACCAAAAATTTTACCTTGGTTGCTCGCCTTTTCCGCGGAACCAGATTTTACCCTGTTCAGCGGTCACCATACCTCCCTCCACCTCCTCTTACCTTAATTTTTTCTCCCAAACAAGGTAAAGATTGAATTTCACCTCATTCTACCTCACCTTACCTCAAACCAAACACAGCGTTAGGGAGTGTTCTAGGGATTTTGTGTGATACTATATCTTACACAAATTTTTTATTATAAAATTCAATACCAAGTATGATTCTTAATGCTAGTCCACTATTGATTGCTATATTCTTTTTCCGATTAATAATTGAATTACCAGAATATAATTAATTAATATTCTAAAATTTTAGTTATAAATAATAATTATCACATAGCGCCTGTTTCGGTTTACGATGTTTGACTAAAATTATTTTCAAACCATTTTATATGACAAATGGTATCGAGTTAAAAAATAAAAATTACATATCAAAATACTACATCAAAAGATCTACAAAACTAGTAGTGACAATAGTACTTTATTTTATCTAATTGCTAACGAAAATAGAGAAAGAAAGTAAATGAAGTTTGACTCTGTGAATAGTGAACATGCACTATAAATTGGGACGGAGGGAGTACTTCGCAACTACATCTGTCTTGTATAGATCTTTCCATTAGTCTTTTTAATTTGTCACATATAGATGTTTTCATTACCTTCTTTATTATTTAAATATCACAATTATTCCTGCTTATTTTATTTATTACACCTCACCCACTTCACTTAATACACCTCATCCATTTTCATTAATGGTATGTTTGGGAACATGGATTTGGATTTCAAATCCGAATTTGGCTTAAATTTCATGTTTGGAAAACTTAAACATTTTGAATTTGGATTTGAGTCAAATTCTTTTCATTCATAACAAAATTTAATTTGAAATCCTTGCACCTCCACTTGTCATTTGAAATTCAAGATTTCAAATTTAGAAATTGAAATGCATGAATTGAAATGAAATACTAATTGTCAAACACTACCTAAGGTTATTTTTGTAAATTTTTACTTTTTACTAATCTCCTTAAGAATCACAAAAGGTTAAAACGAGAAGATTTAAGGGGAACACTGAAAGTAATTGGCTGGAGAAATTCCCTCACAAGGAAACTTTTTTGCATTAAATTCCTTGGAAAATTGCAGTTGCGAAATGTAAAAAGTGAGTTCTGAGAAGTGTGCTCCTTTTGAATTTTCGAAACGCGAAAAACAATCAGTGGGTGCCGGGTGGGATATAATTTTAATTGCATTTCTCCTAGCTTCCTACACAAATAGTAACTTATTTTCAGAAATATTCAAACCTTCTATACTTTTTCTATTTTCAATTTTTGAGAAAAATATAAAGTATATGGTACCTACAAATCTTTATTTTCCAATAAATTCTAACTACATAATATTTATTTTTAAACATTTTTTGAAATAAAGTGAAATCAAAGTGTGTAAATAAGAATTACAAATATAAAAAAATTTGAAGTGTGTTCAAACTAAAAAGAAAGTAAAAATGGTAAGGAACACAACAAATATCATACCCATTATAACTAAAAAGATAAACGAGTTATCAAACATTAACCGGAATAGTGGTGACAACAAACAGTAATACGAATAATTGTAAGAACACAGAGTAATTATTAATAAAAACACAAACAAAATATCAAATACATTCATGTCCCAGTTTTCCTACGATCCATCTCTCCATGCTATTGGTTGTGCTTACGTCTTCCAACTTGTGGAATCTCTCCTTCTGGCCTCACTAGGAGATTTACGTGAAAGTCACCGCAAACAAATTTTTTTAGAAAAATGACTTGTTGAGTCCCTTTGCTGTAACACCTGATATAACTCTAAACAGAGTACCTAATGGGGAGGAGGTCATCAACAAGTCTTTGAAATGAGTGAAACACAACGTGAACATGAACACAAGGAATAGCATCGGCAGTCCATCAGCCACGAGTACATATACGAGACCCCAGATTCACCATGTATTTGTTGATTGATGATGGATCAAAATGAAAAATATGACTAGCAACGTACTGATTGTTACGGTAGAATGCAACTACCCACTTGTGTTTTCTTTTTTCACGACTTTGAAGGATGCCCATGACTTTTGGGGTAATACAGTCATTTTTTAATTGCCACTGAAGAGAAATTTTGTACCATTTTGCTAACGATTCGACCATTTTGTGGTAGGACATCGTCAAAATCGTTGTGACCGGTAACATCCGACATCCCTTAAGCATATTATTAAAACTCTTAGAACCATTTATGGTGAGGATCCCACATCTAAAACCACCATCAAAAGATAGAGTCCAGGCTTCATGTAGAATTTCATTCAAATTATTATTATACGCCTCTTCACTTGTATTTCGTATTTCTCCCCTATAGCCAAAGAACTCTTGGATATTAGGTGTGCTCCGGCTGGCCTAGACCATACGCTTAAGGTGGAACTTTTTCCACACTTACTCAAACTTCAAATATCCCTCCTTATGCATATCTCCGTCTTGTTTTCCAATATCAAAAAAGAGGAAATTGTTAGAACACGGGTTTACGCCTATGTCGTACTAAAGCCCTGTTCCTTTCATAACAAATTTTGATAATGCCAAATTGCTATGAAATCAAGAAGAGATTGAACAAACTAAAGGCGAAGAAACAAGGCAGATTGATCAAGTGAAAACGAGAACCAAGAACGAAGACGTAGAAATAGTTGAGTCGATCTTTGTGTGATCAAGACCGGCATTGACTTTACAATTTGGCTCTCTATGCTAAATATATTCAAATACTTTTCATGCATCATCAAAGTCATTTTCATAAGTTTTAATAAGCCTAAAACAATTTAAATTCTCCCAAACCAAAAACCAAACCATCCAGCGTTCGGCTTTCAGAAACCGGCTTTCGGTTTTCAGAAACCGTCGTTCGGCATTCAGTCATCGACGTTGGTTTTTGGCGTCCGCACCAACCAAGTGTTTTGGCGTCCGCATCAACCAAGTGGTTTTTAACCTTTTATGATTGGTTTTTACTTCTAGGCACATTTTAAATAGTTCTCCAACCAAAACGCTTCAAAAATCACCTTTCGTTTTTGGTCTTTTGGTAAAAACCATGTGAAACGGTATAACCTTGGTTAGCCGTGTTTTTACCTAAATGACGTGGTTTTTAAGATATTTCACTTGGTTTCTTAGTAGAATACATTAAGTAAGTGTTTTCAACACTTGATTTTAAATTTGGAGAACTTTGATTTTTGACATCGGCTTTTGATGTTGACTGGCTAGCCATGGTTTCTGGCAAACCAGCCCAACAGCGATGTTGGAGTGACCAACAGCGCTGTTTGGTGTTAGCACCTGAAAACCATTGTTTGGCACTAAGTCCTCCAACAGAGATGCTGGTTATTCTACATCGCTGTTGAGCCAAGCTTGAAATTCCAGAAGCTTTTTGAACAACGATGTAGGCTACTCTACAGCGATGTTCAACTCAAGCCAAGAGAAATGAGTTTGGCATATTGTTTTTGAACAGCGATGTTGGCCAAGTAACATCGATGTCAGGCCAATTTCTTCCTTGGGAAGATCAGCCTGAACAACGATGTTCACTTATGAACATCGATGTAGGCACCTGACCATTGGAAGAAATTAAAGGCTAAAATTTGCCAAGTTTGGAAGTCAACACCTTGAACAGCGATGTTCACATTCTCAACATCGCTGTTGACATGACCGTTAAAGCTTCCAATTCAAAAGTTTAAGCCTCAACAGCGAC